TTAATAAATTTTTAAGAACAGACCAAAGCAGGATCAAAGAGATATCCGTTTTGTTTCCAGAAAATGGTAGACATCTCGGAGGAGACGTCCGTATCATTGACACGTAGAGGGCAAGAAATTTTATGCGGCAAAGAAATTGTTTGGTAAAATGTTATAGACGGGTCATGGGTGCATAGAAAGATCTTAACAACGAGCCTGTTCTCGTATAATGAGTCCAGCGTCTTGTCTTCGGTGTTGCTTTAAGTATCATCTAGGTTTATTGACATCTGTGGGAGGAGTTATTTCGCAAGGCTAATTTGAGATCCTCATTGCACATTCTCTGCAATCCCAAAGCGGTTGAACAACGTTATTTGGTTTGGCGCAATGTGACACTGCTTTCTTTTTGTTTCGCGCTGTTGTGCGTTTTTTCTTTCCTAAGTTACCTTATTTTTTTTGTTTTTTTTGTTTTTCTGTTTTTCTGTTTTTCTTTTTGTTTTGTTTTTTTCTGTTTTATTTTTGTTGTTCTCTGATTATATGCCGCTGAAAATTTTCTTGTTTTTGGCAGATAGTTTTTCAATGACCAGATTTCACGGCGTGTTGCACTACCAGCATTACCATCTTTCAGCTCATAGTACTCTGTATGGGACATTTGCACGGGCCGTGACTCTTTAGTATCTGAGCATCTACCGTACCAGATGCGCCGCGAATTGTTCCTTTTATGCAGTATCACTTCCTGGAACTTTGTTCTTGAGTACAAAGTCGCTGTAGCCAGCAGAACGATGCGAAATAACACAGCACTGCAAATGCTGTAGAATACTTAAATAGTACCCCATAAAACTGCTTGAGAACTCTTGGAAAACTCTTCAGTATTTCGCGAAACCTAGTGTTGCAGGAATTATCGCCAACCGACTCCAACTGGCGAAACCATTTTATACTATTTCTTTTTTTAATCTGATTCCCATATGTATGTTTAAAAAATGGTGTTCTTTGGTAAAGACATTCTGACATTCAATCATTTATTTTATTGTCCGGGGTGAAGCTGGGTAGAACAGGTTTTTCTCATGATATAGAGGTTCGTTATGTACTCGCTGTTTACGTTGGTACCCAGTTTCGCTGTTATTAGTGTCTCTTCGAATTCTGTAAACCACCTATTCTCATCTGTCAAAAAAGTATCCAGAATGATCCATCCACTGTTTCATTCTAATTTTAACGAATTTATGACGTGACTTGTGCTATTTACAGTAATCTCCCGTGAGAGTATTTCAATGCATCCTTGTAATATTTCATTCTGATGATGTGCCTAAATCTCGCATGGAATAATCTCATATACTCTGCCTTCCTTATCGTGGAAGCAGCTTCTTCATTGATATGAGCTAAGTGCTTTTTGTTTTTTGTTTATTATTTTTATTTATGGTGTACAGCTTGTGTTATTTTTTGGTCAGTCATCAAGTATGTCAAATCGAAATGTTTCGTCGCAGAATAGGCCATTGACTACCAAATTGCATTACAATGCATTCATTGATTTTGCGGCTTTCCATATGAATAGTGATGCTCAAATTTTCTTGGTTAGGTTGACTTCTATTCTGCCGGTGTCATGGTTAAGAGGATTGCGATTTATGGTTTATATTAACTCCCGAAGAAAGCATGATTCTTTCTGACCATAATCACAGACAGGTTTATTCCGCGTATTCAGACGCTTCCGATCGCAACAGATCCGTTTATCCTCACGGTTGAGCCAGATCATGTACAAGAAGATTGTCGATGTACGTTGAGAAGTTGATTCTTACCACTATACGTTCATAATTTGTTTGTTTATAACATGGCTCCAGAGAATTGATCGATTGTGATCCGAATCGTCAGGAAATTGTTACTACTTTGAATATGCGGAGTCAAACTGTTGTGGTTATGGTTATAAAGGATTATGTGCGTGCGTAAAATAATCTTTTCATATTTTTAAGGAAAGCATGGTGGCATTTTTCATTATATAGTTTACCATCTAAAAGAATGATGACGTCTCTTAGGTAAAACGCAGACTTAATAAATAATGATGATTGATTATGATGTTGGTGATGACAATGCCAGTCATGATTATGTAAAAGTTAGAAATGATAATGATGTATATGGCTATGGCATTGGTGATTGTTCTTATGATAGTCATAAAGATATGATTATCATGACGGTAATGATCGAACGAAGGTTGGTTATTTATATCAAAAAGAGAGAAAATTGCAATTGCGCTATTTAGACATCCCAAGCAAATCATGATAAATGGCATGGTTGCGTTTGAACATTCATATCATAATCTGTCTTATTGGATAGTGCTAGTTTTGGTTATCGTGTCATTCACTACCTATATTTCGTAATGGAAAAGTTAAGTGATTTGACAAGTGAAAGCTTAATCATGTGCTTATGTATCGAGTTTATTTTTATGTATTAAATGACTACGGATCGGGCATATTTGCAGGTGTCCGAACAGGCCGTTATTCGGCCCTGCCTAGTGATGCGATTCTGCATCCATGCACTGCAGTTGCTCAAGCACCATGGAGCCCTGGTCTGATTAAATGGTCCCTTAGGCGATTAGAAGCAAGGGGACGGTGCCATAGTGCCATTACGCCGCTTCAATCTTGTATCAAAAGCGAAATGGGTTAATCATGTATTCTGTAATCTTTTTCTTGTAATGGCGTACTGCAGTCTATTAAAGCATGTCTCGTGATTTTTAACTAAGGTGCTGCTTGATTTATTGACGAGCGTGTTTAAAATCCCTCATACATCATCTTCAACTCTGTTCGAATTGTCACTAAGTATTAACGATGGCTGAGGCTCCAAAATGGCAACATGATGTAGAAAGCAGAAGAACACAACACAATCCTGCGCATGAAATGCACGAAAGCAATTCTTTGGGCAGAAATGAAGCCTACGTTCTTCGAAATGCTGTTTCTGACCTGCTCCCATGGTAGGCACAAATTTTTTTGGCAACGAGTTAAGTTGTTATAATCTTTCAATCTACGAAGGATTAGCAGTCGTTTAGATGCTCTGCTAGAGTCAACTAAAGCACAGTTAATCGTTCCAGCGCCGCTTCACATTAATAAAGGTCTTGAAGGAGGAAAGTAAATTGCATTCCAGAATGGTAGACTATTTTTCATTAAAAGGTATGCGTGTTAATGAAGGTGTATATCCTAGGTCGTCTGGAATCTCAGTGTTCGCATTTCCAGTTCATGACAGAAGGTTTACGGTTGGGAATGGTCTGTTTCCAGTTTGTATCGTGCCTTTTGATATCATGTTGACATGTCATAATGTTGCTGAGCTAAGTTTTATCAAAGATCCCTACAGTCCCTGCCCTTTGTGCCGTCAGGTCAGAATGGGACAGGCTAGAAACCGTAAAACAGTTACGCTTGTTTCTCGTTGAGAGTTTCAGCGTTTCCGTAGTAACTGATTACAACACTTTCCAAGGTAATCGGTTTTGTCAGCTTTAGCTGGCCATGCTTCCTTGACAATAGGAACATCTCGATGAAGATCAGGGCTGGACTGACGATTTTTAAGAAGATTTAAGCTGGGGCATAATGATAAAGTCAACGAACGTATGTATAGATCAAATGTCGACAGCTTTGTCGAAATCGACCGTTTAGCACAAGTAATTTGAGCTATTTAACTTTGTTTCATAAGATCTACGTAGTACTATCGATTTCTGGCCCTTTAGATCCGGTCGATCAAGCACTGCTAAAAGCTATGTAATCCAACATCCTCATGCGCGACAATGACAGATGTTTGCGGTCCCTAAGATGAAGACTTGGTTTTAAATACAAATTATTGACTCTCGCTCAACCTCTGAGAGATCAGTTGGCTTTAGCAGTAGATGCCTATCCTCGTACGTTCAACTGGCACCAATTAGGTTTGTCGTCAGTAACAAGTGTTGATCATTTTTGCTTTAACTATTAATTTATTTTTTCTGTTATTTTTATCTGTTCGTTTCATTATCAACGTAGGTTGCACTATTTACATCTTGAAGCTTTTATAGAACCTGTGTTCGGCTGATAATATAGTTTTTACTTCTCGATCCGTCATTTGAATAACAAATAAATGAGAAGGAAGGTAGCGTTCCTCCGTTTACTGTTAGTATCTTCAGACGTAGCCAGAAATCCACCCATTCGCCTTTCTTTTCGAGGCAGTTTTAGAGCTAGTCTGGGTTCTTTACCGATCATCTGCCAAGGGCTCTGCATAAATGCCATTAATATCTTCAGAGTATCAATATTCATAGTATAACCGTGCCTTAAGATTATTATTTTCTTTTAAAAGTTTGGGATGCCGTAATGAAACACAGCAATAGAGACGCTGTTTGATTTATTTCTTTCTCAAATTATGAGTTGAAGAGTGGCCATAATACAAATTGTCGTCAACGTACGACTGTTACAGTAGTAAAGTAACAAATGAAAGTTTGAGATTTTGGGTTTCCTTATCATGGTGTTTGTGGTGCCCTATAGTCATAAAGTTAAGGTTTACCCGCTAACGACGGTTTCGACGTGATCATTCCGATAGACATTGCCTTAAAAAATGGAGTACCTGCGGCTAAACGATCAGGAATATGTGATTGAACGATGGTGAGTTCCATTCCTTCGTTGACTTTCGGATAGGGTGATTTATTTTTTTGGCACGATAACCGCAAATCATAGAGGGAAGCCTCTTTTCTAACCCGTCTTATTGAATGCTTTCCTAAATTTGTATTGAATCACTTCCTGTAAATGTTGTTTCCTGTATTATACTTATCGTTATCACTGCACTACATGAAGTTTATCATGTACTTTCAGGAAAACTTAAGCCAGTCAAATTTGATTTGATATGATAACATCGTGTAGAAGTATCTAAATTAGACCTCACTTAAGCTATCGGATAATTCTCTGCTACGTTGTCGCTTAACATTTACTTACCTTTAGCTAAGGATGAAAGCAGCAGTCGCTTAATTCCCATCGATAAAAAATGACAATAATTGTGATTATTAATTTATAAAATTTTTTAGGTGACGAACGATGACGTCCGTCGATGACAGAAGGGCGCAGGATTGCACCCTTCCCACGCCGATGTGTGCTCAGGACTTTTCCAGAATCCTGAAAGAGCGCGAGGCGATGTTTAACCAGAAGAGAGCCGCTGAAC